TTTGTCGCCATATTTGTCACAACGTTTCTGCCGTTGTACGCTCCGGCCTTCTTCAGGTGGTTGGTTAAGGCAGTGGAGAACTTTCAGAGGGAAAATTAACAGGAGATAACTGATAACAGACATCCATCAAACATGGCACGTGGAACTAGAACAGTCTACGTCGGTGATCGAAATAAAGGGTTCAGTTCAAAATTCCAACCACCTGAAGAAGGCCGGAGCGTACAACGGCCAAAACGTTGTGACAAATATGGCGACAAAGATGAGGACAATAGTCCGACTAATGTAAATACTTTTCTAATTAAATAATGTCTTAGTTTTATTGCATTTTTATGATTTTTTTATGATTCAGAGCAGATTTTCTCTAACTCAGGTCGTGTTTTACAAAAAAAAAGAAAATGATTTAAATTCTCCAAGGTGCCTATAACTAATATAAAAACATAAACCCTATAAAAAATTTCATAAAATTAAATAAGTGGGGGTTGGAGGTAACAGGTATATATATATATATATATATATATATATATATATATATATATATATAAAGAAACATTTAAAAAAATAATTTCATTTATTTCTGAATAAAGTCCTGAAAGTTTCATTAAAATCTGACAATTATCTGATTTTTGCAAGAATTTCCAAATCGATGTGTTTTTTCACTGCAAAAAGATGCTAAAATCTTCCATAATAATTGATGGTCACCTGCTGATGAAGGAAAAATAATTTTTAACCTAAATTTTGAAGCTTCTTGAAAGGATTTAAAAATATAAATTTCATGATAAAGAAATTTTTTGGTCTTCTCTCTTAATAATAACAATGATTTTGGTGATAAAATTTTGTTTTTAAGTTTGTGGCATTTTCTTTCATTTTTTAGTGAATCTTTGGAATATGTACTTAAAATGTAAAAAAAAAAAAAAAAAACATTTGAAAGCATTTGTTTTTATTCCCATTATCTTTTGACTTTGAAGACTTACTTTCTCACAAACTTGACATCTAAGCTACATTTCTCTGTAAGTATTTTGTAAATTTTTGTCCCAGCTGCCATGACGAATTTTCTAGGGCATTTCGTCTTGTATCTTTAATAAAATTGGGGGTTACTTTTCTTTGTCAAGGAAAGTGCCCTTTCGTCAGTGAGGAAATTTGATCACACTGGCAATCTTTTCTAGAATGCTTCTGTGACCTTGGGGTGGGGGCAATGTTCCCATTTTTTTTTTTTTTTCCTCTCCATTCTTAAAAAACAATCTTGCTTCGTCTTTATTTTAACTTATTATTATTTAAAAATACGTCTGGGGACAAGTACCAAAATGTTCATGATATTTTTTTAACCTTTATTGCGTCTACGTGCACAGACTCATGGTGCTATTCAGTTCAGGAAATTTGACCTTGAAAAAAAATGATTTCATCTTCAACCCTTTCACTGTCTCCTTCCGCTCCCTTCTTTAACATATGACAAAAAATATTTCATCATCCCATTTGCGGAGTTGAGATTTGTCTGAATTTCTTGTATCTAGGAGATACTTTTATTTACATTCAAACAAAAAATTTTTTTTTTTTAATTATTTCAACCCGTGCAAGGCTGTAATAACCATTTAGGATGCAAAGAGTTATTGAGACAGTAAGAAACAGTCTTCAATAAAGCAGAAGAGGGCGATTGACATTGCATTTTAAATTTTTGAAGATCAGTTAACTGGGAAGCAAGAAACCAGAAGAGAGTTCAACAAGCGAGAAGTGCAGGAGAAAAAACTGTTAGCATAGAACTTACGGTTTCATCTCTAGCCATTTCAACAATGAAATTCTGAAACTTAGCTGCCAATTTAATCTTCGATGTGCTGTGTTTTTTAAGGACATTGACGATCATGGCTCTCCACAATTTCTTATCCTTTGTAGCTCTTAATAAATTTTATCTATTTGTTATTTCTCCTAAAACCTGTTCTACCATCCATTTACTCTAGCTCATTCTTCTCCTATGTGTTGTGTACTTCAGGATGTAGACGATCATGGCTCTCCACAATTTCCTATCCTTAGTAGCTCTCCACAATTTCCTATCCTTAGTAGCTCTTAATAAATTTTGTCTTACAGTCAAGTAATGGATAGCAGCTTGAATTGAGGAATCGGAGAGCCAAGTTCAAATCCTACTCAAATACATTACATTCACTTACGTGCTAATACCATTGGGAAAGGTACTCTTCTTCTTGCCTTCCCACTGCTATGGTTAAATAGCGAGACAAACTGGGTTCTATAGCCTTGGATGGCAACTGGTCTACCGCAGAAAGAAATGGCAACCTGCTGTGGAGAAAAAAATCTACCTTGTCAGTCATGATCGCCTAAGCGTGTATCACACATGGCACATAACTGACTGACTGACTTTCCAGTCGAATCCATTACATTCACTTACGTACTAATACCCTTGGGAAAGATATGAATCCTCTTCTTCTCCCTCCAGCTATGGGTAAATAGCAGGACAGACTGGTTTCTATTGCCTTGGATGGCAACTGGTCTACTGCAGAAAGAAATGGCAACCTGCTGTGGAAAAAAATCTGCCTTGTCAGACATGTATCGAAAGATACATGATCGCCTAAGTGTGTATCGCACATAAGTGACTGACTGACTCTGCAGTCGAATCCATTACATGCTAATACCATTGGGAAAGGTATAAATCCTCTTCTTCTTCTCTCCTCCTCCACCCCCAGCTATGGTTAAATAGCAGGGCAGACCAGGTTCTATAGCCTTGGATGGCAACTGGTCTACCACAGAAAGAAATGGCTAGTTACTGCGGGGAAAAAAATCTGCCTCATCAGTCATATATCGAAAGATACATGATCACCTAAGCGTGTATTACGCATGGCACATAACTGACTTATCTCTCCTAAACCCTGTTCACCATCCATCTACTCGAGGTCTCTAGGTAGGTTACACATCATTTTCCTTTTGCCTTCAATCTGTCCTGTCAGTATCAGATTTGGGGGGAAATTTAACAACTCTTCAACTGAGTTGTGAATTGATGAACAAAGCTGAAACGACAGAAAAGATTAAAAACATAGTTTATATCACAAACACATAAAGAGAATAGAGGATTGCTAGAAACATGTTGTTTTAGCAGTTAAAAGGTAAGGCATTGAGGATGAAATCCAAATACATATCTGTTTTGAAATAGATGATACACTTATTTGGATGGCATTCATATTCTGTTTATACTGTTTTGTCCTTACATCATTCAGATTAGCTTGTGACCAGCATGCCTGATCTGGAAACCTCTTTGCCCTGTATTCTTCTTTGTATCTGTAGTTGGCACTTAAATCCTATCTCGAGCATAATTTTGGGTCATGCCCATTATCATCAGTTTAATAGACTCTTCTCATTATCAGCAGGAGCCATCGACCAAAGGGAGATGACCTATATTTTTTATAATTTTCCAAGCCCTCTTTCCTCATGATGTGTCCTATACATTTCAAGTGCCTCTTTCTGATGTTTCCTTTTCGTTTCCATAATCTCTAAATATTTGGTCCACGGTATCTTCAGCATCCTTCTTTAGAACCACATCTCTGTTGCTTTAAGTCTCTTCTTCATCTGTTAGGAGATTGTTCAGCCTTCACTGCCATATAAGAGGACTGATATTACGTAACAGTTCAGTACTCTTTTCTTTGTTTCTAATGAAATTTTTCTGTTTCTTAATACTTTGCTTAACTTTTGGAAGGTGTCTTTTCATTGTTTCTGTTGCTTCAAGTCTCTTCATCTGTGAGGAGATTGTTCAGCATTCACCCTCATAAAGGACTCATATTACATAACAGTTCAGTATTCTTTGTTTCTAAGAAAATTTTTTTTGTTTCTTAATACTCTGCTTAGCTTTTGGAAGGTATCTTTCACTATCCCAATATATGCCTGGATCTCAATGTTGCACTTTCATGTGGATGTCAGGTCTGGCAGCAAACTTGTTAACTATTTCTTAGCAATAGGCCCCACTTGATATCAATATGAAGCGGCTTGCTAGAGCAGAATAGTCAAAGCTTTTTCAGTAACTGGAAAGATTTTTCTTTGTGTTTTGTTTCTTTTGTTTGGTTTTGTTTTCTTTTCTTATGGTTTTTCTGTTATTTTTTATTTTTCTGTTTTTGTTTGATGTTTTTGTTCTATTATATTTTCTGTTTTTTGGGTATGTTTTTATGTTTGTTTTTCTTATGTTTTTATGTTTGTTTTTCTTATGTTTTTATGTTTGTTTTTCTTATGTTTTTATGTTTGTTTTTCTTATGTTTTTATGTTTGTTTTTCTTATGTTTTTATGTTTGTTTTTCTTATGTTTTTATGTTTGTTTTTCTTATGTTTTTATGTTTGTTTTTCTTATGTTTTTATGTTTGTTTTTCTTATGTTTTTTATGTTTATTTTTTTCTTATGTTTTTATGTTTGTTTTTTTATGTTTTTATGTTTGTTTTTTCTTATGTTTTTTATGTTTGTTTTTTCTTATATTTTTTATATTTTTTTTTTTCTTATGTTTTATGTTTGTTTTTCTTATGTTTTTATGTTTGTTTTTTTCTTATGTTTTTATGTTTTTTTTTTTCTTATGTTTTTTATGTTTGTTTTTCTTATGTTTTTTATTTTATTTTTTCTTATGTTTTTATGTTTTGTTTTTTCTTATGTTTTATGTTTATTTTTTCTTATATTTTTATGTTTGTTTTTCTTATATTTTATGTTTTTTTTTTCTTATTTTTTATATTTTATTTTTCTTATGTTTTTATGTTTTATTTTTCTTATGTTTTTTATTTTATTTTTTCTTATGTTTTTTTATTTTTATTTTTCTTATGTTTTTTATGTTTGTTTTTCTTATGTTTTTATGTTTTTTTTCTTATGTTTTTTATTTTGTTTTCTTATGTTTTTATGTTTGTTTTTCTTATGTTTTTATGTTTGTTTTTCTTATGTTTTTATGTTTGTTTTTCTTATGTTTTTATGTTTGTTTTTCTTATGTTTTTATGTTTGTTTTTCTTATGTTTTTATGTTTGTTTTTCTTACGTTTTTATGATTGCTTTCTGTTCTGTGTTTTTTGGTTTTTCTGGTTTCTTTGTTTTTTGGGTTTTTTTCTTTGGTTCTTTGTTTTTTGGGTTTTTTTCTTTGGTTCTTTGTTTTTTGGGTTTTTTTCTTTGGTTCTTTGTTTTTTGGGTTTTTTTCTTTGTTTCTTTGTTTTTTGGGTTTTTTTCTTTGTTTCTTTTTTCTTTGTTTCTTTTTTCTTTGTTTCTTTTTTCTTTGTTTCTTTTTTCTTTGTTTCTTTTTTCTTTGTTTCTTTTTTTCTTTTGTTTCTTTTTCTTTGTTTCTTTGTTTCTTTTTTCTTTGTTTCTTTTTTCTTTTTTGTTCTGGTGCTTTTTTGTTTAGTTTTTGCTTGATTACATATTTCCTAAAGAGACAATGCCATATCTGTTAAGGATATATTTAACCATGAGTCTCCCTAGATTCCTTTTCTTAACTATTTGTAAATTGCCATTTATTCTTGGAAAACACAAATGAGTTTTTACTTAGTATTGAAGATCAGGTTGCTAACATTACTTTTTTGTTTAGTTTCCACAAATTATTTTAATGTACATTTCATCAGTTTTCTTCTATTTAATATTTTTTTGTCTTTTATCTTGCTGCATGTATTTTTTCCCTGGTTCAGTACTTCAGCCCCAACATCCTCATGCCCATGACAAATTTACTTGTACCATGCCACAAAATGTCTTTTTTTATGGTTTACATAAACAAGTTTTATGTACATTACATTTTTTTGCTTCTTTCTTTCATATTCCTTTTTTTTTTTTTTTTCAGTCTGTTCTGAGTAAGTCCTTGGCCCAGTTGCACTGGTGCTTCAACAACAAGAAAGTGAAATCACTGGATCTCGTCTTCGAATCTTGTGTCATCCATGGCTCAGGTCAACAATGTGAAAACTCAGCTGGGGTAAGTCTATAAGATTAATTGATCTGCTTTTTTTTTTCTCACAGCTTATCAACCTTTTACATGTTATTTAAAGCCAGAAAATATTTTTAGATTGTAAAAATTTTGGGGGAATAATAATGATTTACAAGTCATACTAATTAATCCATAATTGGAGTAGAAGATTCTTAATTTTCCCAAAGAACCTGGCTGAAATTGGAACTCATATCTCTGATTACAATTTTTTTGTCTTATCAACCGTTTGCTGGTTATTTAAAGCCAGAAAATATTTTTAGATCATAAAAAGAAAATATTTTTCCTTTTTTTTTTTTTTTCTTTTTTAAGATAATGTTTTTTTTACTGATACAAGTTGAACTAATTAACCCATAGTTGGGGGAGATGTGGATTAATACATTTTTCAAGTGTATTTGCACATAAGTGAATATAACAAAGTTGACAGGAATTGGAACCCTGCTCTCTGATTTTAAATATTAACCAGCCAAGCAGTCACCCATCTTGGTACTGATCAGGCTTGACATTGCTTAACTTCAGTGATCATACAAGAACCAGTGTTCCAATAGGATCTGGCTGTAAGCCATGTCTTCAAGAGGAATGGATCCAAGATAAAAAAAAAAAAAAAACCCGTAACTTATAAAACTTAATTGGTCTTCTTGTCGTTCCCTTTACTTTTCTTTAAATCTTATTTCTTTTGTCGTACACGGGACACTTGTTTGAGAATCAGAATAATTCAACTTCTTTGTTTTAAAGATAGGAAATTGCTTAAAAAAATTAGTAAAAAGTGAATGAACAAGATCTGTCATGCTTTGATGACATAAATTTTACAACAAATGTTGTAGAAACAAAAAAAAAAGAAGTTTTTAATTTTGGCACAAACCAACAAATACGGAATTCAGTTCAGATGAAAGACCTCCACTTCGTAAGATCATCTGACCGTCTTTCCTCTAAATGACCAGGAACTCAAAGAAGGTAGATTCTCTTAACACTGAAATATCAAATACCTTTTGTAAACAATTGTTATCAACAACTGCCTACTTTGTGTTTTATTATCTATCGTGCTGAGTGGATTTGCAATCTTCCCGTTTCAAATAAGTTATTTTTGTCTTTTTGGTTTTTTTTTTTTTAAGTTGAGTAAAAATTGTAACTTATTCTGCCTTCTCAGGCTAATATTTTCCACTGATATAAACTGTAATGATTGTATTAAATCAATTGCTAAGTCTGTCTATATTATTCAATGAAATATATATATGATAATTAAGTGGGTTGGCTGGCAAAATTAGTTGTTGCTGAAATTCCTAAATTTTCACTTGAGGATGAAACAGGGCTTGATACTTTAACTCAATTTAATTTTAATAATTATATTGAGGTTTTTGGCTCTCATTTTTGAAACATAAGAACTCTTATGTAACGAAGGATTTAAATTTTTTTTTTTTTTTTTTTTTTTTTTAAATAATTATAATCTAAGCGCTACTTCTGTATGGAGCACTGTTTTTTAAAAATAAAAACAAAAATACTAAAGAACTCTGGATTATCTACCTAACATGTTCTTTCCTATTTTTCTACATATCTACACACACACACACACACACACACACACACACAATATATATATAAGACTAATAATCTTATAAATATAAGCAGCTATACTCATCTGGCAAAACCTTAGGTGTTTTTTTTAGCTTGTAAATGAACAAACCAATACCCAAGGGGAAAGGGGGGGGAGAAAGAACTAAAAACATGTGTTTCCAGTGAAAATAATCAAAGAAAAAAAACTCTGATCAAGTAAAGTAAAAAATAAAAAAAACTCAATGATACAGCAAACTATACAAAATAACTAAAATCTTGGTAGGTTTGGCTCTTTAGGTTTGGATATATATATATATATAGGATGAAAATCTTGGTAATCCATTATGGATAATCCCAGGAGGTTAAATCAGAGCTCAATGTTAAATCAGAGCAATTAATTCAATGAATTAAGTATTATAATAAAAAATAATTTAAAACCATTCCTATCTCTCAGCTTCCCTCTCTAATTTTGACCACGTCTGTCACCATCTCTCCCCACTCTCTCTCTATCACCTTACATCAACTTAATACTAACCCTCAAAAGTGTATAAAAAAAATATATGTAAATTTAAATTTACTTTTTCACCCTTGGAAGTGAGGTCTGATGAGCCAGGAAAAAAGCCATTTTCAAGGATGAAATAAAAGTATAGCTGAAAGCGCTTGGAAAAATAAAACATTTGGACAGTTTTTCTATAATTTATTTACTGAAAAGAAAAAAAATTAAAAGATAATGAGAAATTTTCTGAAAAAAAAATTAAAGCACCTTGTCTGTCATATTTAATGAAGCAAGCATGAAAGAAGGATTGCTGTCTAAATGCACAAAATATATATATATTCAAAATTATAACATAAACATGTTATAACATCCCTACAAAAAACAGCCATTTTGCTTTAATACTTCTGTTTTATCAAGTGATGGTTTTGATTGCAAAATAAAGAGTTTTAAGAGTTCAAAATCAAACAAACCCCCTCAGTAGGAGGAAACATTGTTACTTAACCTATCATGACCAATCAGAATACTAGTATATGGTAATTCAAAATAACGTGACATTATACTCTAAGTACAATCTATTAGTGCATTGAAGTTAAGATTAGATTAAATTTGAAACCAACATAAAGGTTTAATTTCACAGTTCAATTTAAAATTACAAATTCTAAATTTAACATAGTATCAAATTTAATATTATTACAAAATTATTCAGAAATGAAACTATAGAAAAATATTTTTATTGTTCCTGGTGAAGTGCCAGTTTATCAGTTAAGTTCGACACTGATGTAAGAAGCATTCATGATTGCTACACATATTTGATACATGGAAGACTGAATTAAAATAAGGAGGTAGATAAGGAAGGGAATTTTCAAATGACAGGACAAACACATTCACATCCTAATACACAAACACATATATATAATCAAATATATGAACACACAAATATAAAGAGTTCAAAATCAAACAAACTTCCTCAATAGAGGAAACATTGTTACTTATCCTTAACCAATCAGAATACAAAATGGTAATTCAAAATAACGTGACATACTCTAAGTACAATCTGTTAGTTAATTAAAGTTAAGATGAGATTAAATTAGAAATCCATATAATTAATTAAGTTTTAATTCCACAGTTAAATTTAAAATCATAAATTACAAATGTCAAATTCTAAATTTAACCAAGCATCAAGTTTAATATTACAAAATTATTCAGAAATGAAACCAAGACAAAAAATGTTTTATTGTTCTTAGCAAAGTGCCAATTTATCAGTTAAGTACAATGCTGATATAAGAAGTATCTACAATCTCAAATAAGAAAAATTTTTAAATGACAGGACATTCACGTCCTAATACGCAAACACATTCATGTCCTAATACATAAACACATTCACATCATCAAATATATAAGGATGAATAGTCACACAGAAAATAGAAGGAAAATTTCAAAAATAAAGAATAAAATCAGAATAAAAAAAAAAGAATAAAGACAAACATAAAAAAAAAACACGCAAAAGAAAAAACCAGACTTATTAAAATTCAAGCATAAATACACTAATAAGGCACAAACTCAATATTTTACATACAGAAACGTATAGATAAAAAAGTGGGGACTCAAATAAAGGTAAGAAGTGCAAATACATGCATATGTAAGATGCATACATATACGTAGTTGAAACATGCATATCAAGCTGTAGACAAAGCAAAGAAAAAGAAAACACACACACACACATATATATATATATATATATATATATATATATATATAAAAAACCGAACAAACTCACATGTCCAAACAAAATAAGCACATTAGCAATTTGCATATGAATAAAACGGCATGTATACAAATATAAAAACATACATTTACTCACATATACCCAAATATATATACACATATATATATATTTAAAGATATTTTTGTAGGTACAAAATTTAATGATCGAAATAAAAGTATAAAATTTAATATTACAAGACATATTAAAACAGTATTAAATAATAAAAAAAAAAACTCAACAACAAGGGGGGAAGCAACCGGTTTCGCTCCATTCGTCCAGGCTTCCACGGGAGATTGAAAATTAAAACAGAGAAATGTACAGTAAGAATAGGTGGAAAAAAAAAAAAAAAAAATTACACACACACACACACAGAGAGATATATATATATATATATATATATATATATATATATGTTCGTATATATGCAAGAAGGAACTAGAGGCAGATGACAGCGAGTCCCAGCAAACACTCACGTTGTTTGCACAAAGAAGGCTTGCGGGACCCGATGTCGACGCGGTTACTAATTTGAAAGCCCAGTTGAACAATTTCGCTCACCCCTTTTCCTGCTCCTCTGTCGCAACTGCTGAATCCAAATGGAAAGCAGAACATCAGCGTGTTGTTAACGCTCTGAGGAATAATTATAACTTGATTATTTCCAGACCTGATAAAGGTGCTGGTGTAGTTATTTTGGATCGAGCAGACTATATAACCAAAATGTCTTCTATCTTAGAAGACACTTCAAAATTTATTAGACTTGGTTCTGCTGACACCTGTGATGGAACCTCCTGGGTGTGAAGCGAAATTTCAAAAATCACTTTTAAAGTGGGTAAAATCAGGGTTCCTCTCAAAGGAAATTGCCAGCGAAATCGTCCTTCGGTGCGATTCGTCCCCGATTATATGGTCTCCCGAAAATCCACAAGGAGGGTGTACCGTTGCGACCGATTTTGTCCATGATCGGGTCAGCCCAACACATGATAGCCCAATGGCTCTCCACACTTTTGGATCCTGTGTTGCAGTGCCTGGATGGTTTTTGTATTAAGGATTCCTTTTCCTTTGTTGACGGCGTGAAAAAATTGTCTTCTTCCGGTAAGTTCATGTGCTCTTTCGATGTTTCTTCCTTGTATACTTGTGTCCCTTTGATGGAAACCATCGATATTGATTGCGACTATCTCTATCGCA